CTTCAGGTGGCTCTTTGTCCCGAGGCCTCAATCTCAGATTGTACATGGGCGTAGGACACAGCACCAGAGATGAACAGTGAAAAGAGAGACTGAGAGGGACTGACCAGAGGGATGAGTGAGGACTCCTGAGAGGTGCTGACCATACTTGTTCATGTGTACTTTATGAGATTATTGTGAGTTATCATTCATCCTTCGTTCATTTGATCTTGCCGTTGCTCGAGTCAGTCGGTCTTGTTTCTTGCTTGTTCTTGCCTGATGATTGCTATCGTGGATGATTCTGTCACAGTTCTCAAAATCAGATTGACATAAATGATGCATGCATAGCACCCCATATTTTTATGATTATTATTTGCATAATTCTCTTCTGTTCCGAATCAAAATAAAAGATTTATAAGACTGGGGACCGGCAGAGACCGCAGTTGAAGGGTGGGATTTGCATTATTTATTTTATTTTATTTGCTGCATTTACATACGAAATCCTGCGTGACAACCAGTTGGTTTTCCGGTCTCCCGAAGTGGACCGACTGGAAAATGTGCGACAGCGCGTGCGCTATTTTCCTTGTTGCGTGCAGTTTTCTAGCGCGCGCGGCTCTTCTTCGTGGCGGTAACCTTGATTGGTGATTGTTGAAATGGTGAAGATGATGACTGGTGATTATGATTTCAATGTTGATGATAATGATGATGATGATGATGATGATGATGATGATTCTAATGATGATGATGATGAATACTGCTGACGAGAGTCAACTTCCGATGGGAGAGATCACGATGAAAGTAAATGATGATGATGATGATAATGATGACGATGATAACTGATGACTACAATCAAGGTGATGAAATTGCTAATAACGTGCCCTGTGGTGATGCACTAATGATTGTGATAATAGGGATGGGCACATCACCAATAATGGTGATAATAGGGATGGGCAGCGCCCTCGCACCTTGAAATAGTAAAACATGGATGAGGTGCTTGCACGCTAGCCAACTTACCTTGTTTCCAATACTAGTAACGGAATATTACTGACGAGCTGTGAGCGGCCCCAGTTACCGCCTTAATGATGATGAAGAGCATCACCCTGATGATATTGGTAACGACGGTGAGCAGCCCTAATGATGATAACAAAACCCTTACGTTGTTCCTTTGAGTCACGACCCTAATAATGATGATGGCAATGACGAACTGCCCTGATGATGATGAGAAAGCCCCACCATATTCCTTTGAGTTACGGCCGATACCTGATGCAGATGAACGAGAACGCTGGTGATGACGGGCAGCTACTGCACTTGCACTTCGGGTCACCCAAGGCTCACTCCGTTGAACTCCACAGGCATCCCCAGAGACGACACCTCACAGGCTCTATGCCACGGGCAAAAACGCAGCAGCAATAGGGTATGAACGCTTAACAAGCAGCTGCTGTAAGCTCGACCCCTAGCCCTGCAACACCTCGTCACCCCACCAGCGCCTCTGTCACGCCATCGCCATGCAGTACTTCGTCCGTATGAACGCGTCAGAGCGAAGCCGGTTCACGCCAGGCGCCCTCCCGCTTCGCCTCCTCACTCCGCCGCCGCGGTCCGTACCGGGGCGCAGCGCTCCCGGTAGCGCTGCGCCCCCGGGCTCAGAGGGTTCTTTCATTTACGTTTTTGTTTTTTTTTTAAATAAAGAAAAAGTTTAAAAAATAAAATAAAAAACATAGGGTTGTAGATCTCAAAACTATCTAAAATGATCCTGGGGGGCCGCGCGAGCGTGCGTTAACGTAGCGGCATCAGCGGCGGTGGCGGCACCCGGTCGTCGTTAGTCGCGGCTGTGTAGGTGTGGTGTGTGTGCTTCGGGCTCTATCATTCTTACGTGGCACCTACCTTGCCAGGCACCATAGCTGTGTGAGAGCTATGGCGGCAGTGCCCTGGCGTAGCCTAGCCCTTGAGTGGGAAGGGAGTGCCTCTGCACTCTTAGGCCATGGCATCCTTGCAGCTCCTCATTGGACCTTCATACCAACCTACACACCTACAAGACCTTGATATCGGATTAGCCGCCTTCCCCTCAAGCCTTCTGCTGGAAAGGGGGGGCTCCTTTTTCACCATCTAAAGACCTCGTGCTGCATTTCAAGACACGACAACTTGACTGCCTTGTTCACTAGAAAAGTATGGAAAGCGGAGCGGCGTATTTGGACGCAGTGGGAGAGCGTGCGGCTGCAGTGGCAGCACTCCGGCACACTTAAGGGCTGCAGCAAGTCTCGTTTGATTATCTTCGTCGCAAGGCATTACGTTGTTCACTTGTTTCATGTTCGGGGTTTTCGTTTGATCGGGTTTGTCATAGGTCACCCAAGCCTTGAGTGGTACGGGGAATGTTCCACGCTCTACCTACGGTCATCCTGGAATCCTGCGTATAATTACCACATATATATCTACGACAGTTTCTAGGAAATTAACATGATGAAGACATGAGTTCGCTGCTGGGTCTATAAAGCCTCGAAGCCCTATGGAGTTTAGAGTTGTCTGCATTCAATTTGTTGAATTTTTGAATTTGTTCTTGTTGTTAGTGTCGTTTTCTTTATTCGACATCGTGTAGATCTTTCGAAGTCTGTTTGGGTTTGTACATGTGGTAAGCTCCTGGGATCCTTTTTGTTGTTGGTGGCTTTCTCAGTGCATCCTGCCTACCGGGACATATCGCAGTTTATTTCGTAAAAGTGGTTGCTCTTTAAGCCTAGGAAACAACGTTGTAGGGTCACCCAAGCCTTGAGTGGTACGGGGAGTGTTCTACGCTCGACCCTTGGTCATATTGGGAATTCCTGCGCATAATTTACCGCTGAAATACCTACGGCAGTATCTGGGAAATTAATATATCTTTCGAAGTTTGTTTGGGTTTCTACATGTGGTAAGCTCCTGGGACCTTTCCTGTTGTTGGTGATTTTCTCAGGGTATCCTGCCTACTAGGGCACATCGCAGTTTATTTCATAAAAGTTGTTGTTCTTTAAGCCCAGGAAACAGTGTTGTTGGGTCACCCAAGCCTTGAGTGGTACGGGGAGTGTTCTACGCTCGACCCTTGGTCATCTTGGGAATTCCTGCGCAAAATTTACCACTGAAATACCTACGGCAGTATCTGGGAAATTAATATGATAAAGACATGAGTTCTTTGCTGGGTCTGTGCAGCTCCGAAGCCCTCGGGGTGGCGGCACCATTAGTGGGAGTGGGAGGCTTACTAGTGGCCGTGGGAACGTCGCCCGGGCGCAGTAGGTAAACTAATTCTCAGCCTTAATCATGTTTCGAGGAATGGCTGACCTTCAGAATAGGGAGGGTGTCACAGGGTCACCCATGCCTTGAGTGGTGAGGGGAGTGTGCCACTTGAAAATTCTCGCTATTTTTCTTTCCACCCCCTTTTTAGGCGCGGTCATTCATATCCTTCCTTCTTTTGGGGAATTTCCTTGGATTTTCGATATGTGGCTGCTTTCTTGGTTGTCCTTAATGGCTTATTGTTTTTAGACACTAGTAATTAGTTGAGTTCTCATTTGGGTTATGGTTAAATTAGTAGGTATTTTGCGAATTGCCTTGGGGCATTTTCGAGGTGTGCAGTTTACAGCCCGCTGTTTGGAGCCAGTAGTGTTTCGATTTTAGAAGCATCCCGGTGCTCTGCTGTGTAGGAAGGACATTATATTGTCATAGATTTGTTTTGCTTTTTTTGGTCTTTTTTGGAGAATCCTCTAAGGGACACTGGACCCGGTTTCCAGTAGCCCAAGTTGAGTATTGGCCTCAGCAGTTGTGTACCAGGTTGATATGTAGGGGGGTGTTCCCGGGCCCGGTGATCTCATTGGAATGAAAAGTGCCATGTTTCTCCAAAAAAAAAAAAAAACTATCTACAACCCTGTATTTTTTTATTTTCTTTTGCTCATTGTTTTCCAGGGAAAAAAATATTATCGCGCCTGTTCAAAGCTCGCTCAAGCGCTTTTGAGCGCAGAATTGAGTGGAACTAAAAAATGTGAGCTCCAACCCCGCGCTCAATCAGCATGCGCTTCCATACACAACCAACGCGTTACATTCCCATATCAAAAATTAGGAAGGAAGGAAAAGGAGAAGAGGAACCAGAAGATGGGATTAAGGAGGCAACCAAAACTCAGAAAATAGTAGCGTGCAAAGAGAAAGGTGAATCCAGATTAAATTTTCAAAAAGGTAACAAAAATACAACCCGGTCACCACCCTCCCTCTCTCTTCGTTACCACCCACTTCTACTCTCGACGCAGGCAGTTCGTCGTCTGAAACCCACAATCTAGCCAGAGCCGTCACCCCGCTTGGTCCAACTGCGTAAGTTGGGTTCGCTGGTATCCCGCAGTTCATCGCTGCCACACATCAAACCCGCACAATCACTACCAGTTCATCACATCGCCCAACTCTGCAACTCGCCTTAGAACCCGTGTGCCTATTAGCTGATCCTCTCGACCACGCTAACTCCGAAGTTTAGATAAGAGAGAGCTGATATCACGCTTGCCAGATTTACAGCGAAGATTGCCTGCGCAAGATAACCGGCATTAGAGATGGGAAGGGAAGAAGGGAGAAGGAAGTGCCTACGATGGGCAGGCCTGGACCATGGCGTGGGGGACTATAAGGGTCTCGTTAGACACTCCTAAAAGAATCCTAAAATTTTTAGGACGAGTTCTAAAGGATTTTTAGGCTTCCGTGCGGCGCCGTTACATGCAGTCCTAAGAATCGTCTTTTAGGATTCGTCCTAAAAGGTCTCCCGCGGCCCGTTCTCATATTCGTATACGCAGCCGCGTCGCCGATGTCCGTCGGGTCCTAGCTGGTGTCCGTGGTACACACTGCGGAGGCCTTGGGCGGGCGAGGAGGGGTGGGTGAAAAGCGTGGTCACCCCGAACTTGAAAAATTCAAATTCGAATTTTCGCAGACGCAAGGCGACAGGGGCGGAGAACGGTCGGGCGACGCATCTGACGTACAAAAGACGGCGTTGGCGAAGCGTTCGGCGCGGGTATCCATCTTCCGAGTCCACGCGAGTTGCGAGCAGCGGGGGCAACTTCCGGCAAGGCGCATCATCGCCACCATCGCTGTGTGCTGTCTTGTGGACTCCGACGCACGCCATCTTCTGTTGCAGCGTACGTCAGTGGCCGCATCTACGGGTCCGGTGTGCGTGTCTCTCTTCACTTGGTTCAGCAGCGGGCGTGTCTTCGGCGTTTGTGGCAGGCGACATGCTCTTCGGGGAGGAAGATTCCCAGAGATGGATCTTCGCGTCAGCGGGCACGGTCTGCGCAAAGAGGAGATCGACACGGTCGCGATGGCGGTCACTGCCGTCGTCGTGAACACGATGGGCGGCATGTCGTCGTCCTCAAGCGACATGCTGACACAACTCCGAAAACGAAGAGTGTTGTTGCAGTGCATTGCCGAAGCGCCGGATTGCGTGGCAACGTGTGATGCAGTCGTCCAGTTGTGCGTCGCGCTGTCATCTGGCATTTTCCCGCGGCGGACCCCGCGTTGGTGGATCAAACGACGGACAGGCGGGACATGGGAGGATCTCCGCCTCTGTGATGACGCGACAGACGAGTATTACCGGCATAAGTTGCGCATGTCATTGGCCATGTTCAGGCAGATCGTTGCCGCGTGCGCCGCGTACGTGGAGAAGAAGGTGACGCACTACAAGATGCCTTTGCCAGTGGAGCAGGTGATCGCTTTTGCGTTGTACAGGTGGGCGTCAGGAGAGACGTATGAGAGCGGCACTCCGTCCTTCAGCATCGGCAGGGCAACTGGACTGCAGGTCGTCCGCGACGTCACTTCGGCGCTGCTGCAGGCGTACCCCGACGCTATCAAGTGGCGAGTTGGCCGTAGACGTGCGCAGACGCATACCGTGACAAGGGTTTCCCAAACTGCTTCGGCGCGATCGACTGTACACACATCTACATTGACAAGCCCGCCGGCGCACCTTCCGACAACTACTACGACCRCAAACARAAGTTYTCYGTGCAGGCGCAGRTGGTGGTGGATTTGGATCTGCGGATCCTCGACGTCCACATCGGATACCCGGGAAGCGTGCACGATGTACGCGTCCTGCACAATTCCCAGCTGTGGAGGCGTGCAGAAGCTGGCGAGCTGTTCGACGCACCTCCGGAGAATCTGCCACACGGTGTCGTCACGCGAGGTTACCTGCTAGGCGACAACGGTTATCCAGTTGCCTGTCCATGGATCGTGCAGCTGTACGGAGGAATCGACCAACATCCTGACGACGAGTGCTTCGACACGCGGCAGAAGGTGGCGCGGGGGTGTGTGGAGAGGGCATTTGGGCGACTGAAGTGCATGTGGCGTCTGTTTTTGCGCACCCACAAGACGAACCGGAAGACCTTGCCACAACAATTCGTGGCAGTGTGCACTCTCCACAACATCCTCCTCGACGCGGGGATCGACTTCGATGAGTACCTTTTGTGGGAGGTGGATGAGAACGGCATTCGTCGTAGAGTAGACTAGGGGATTGTGGGGAACGGCGCGGGCGGGCAGCGACAGGGCACGAACGTGGACGGGGACTTGTTGTGGGATGCACTTCGAGACCGCCTAGCTCTGATGTAGGACCGTGTGCACGGGAGTGG